TTTTAATCCCACTAATCTGCAAAATGACCTTAAAACTCCTAATATACTCCTTTATTATACTTTTTCTGCAATATAAGGCTTCAATGACTCACTGGATATGCCTCTAAGTTTAATAGTTCTGTGAAAAATCTAATTCTAATGCCAAAATTACCTGAAGGCAGCCAGACAAGAAGTACAGAAAGATTCTAGGAGAAACTAAGTAAAGCAGGAAGGCAGTGCTCACATTTGAGTAGGACACAAAGATGCAGACCTAAGATGCAAACCTATACCTAGCAAGACAGCACCGAAATGGGAAGCCAGGAATGTAGGTTTTAAGCCACTATACAGCTGTGCAGTGACAGGCAAGTCACCTATATTTCCTCAACTTTCCTCCCATGTGTAAGATTAAGGGCTTATACTACCTATTTCCAATTCTGTGAATGTAGCATATAAACCAAAAAGCATTATAAAATTGTTCCACCACCCAGCTGCTCTTAGTGTATTCTAAATCCCACCACTTAAGTCCATTACAGAGTAACAACACCAAATATAAACTGTGCAAGGTATACACAAGGTATATAGAGTTGGTGCACAGGGCATCAACTCTAAGGCAGTACTCTTAGCCTCACAGTCAAAGTTGATTTGTGTATTTACTATGACAATTATAATACCAAATGGCAGCCAAATGTCTTGTTCTTAAAAAAAAAAAAATCAGAATATTATCACAACACTTTCATAGAGACTTGGGACTTTTCCAATTGGCACAAAGGTTCCATGTGGGCTGGCAATGGCCCAGATACCCATTGGGGCTCCAGCTGACCACCACACTGCAGCACATGGAACACAATGCTCAGAGTACCCTATGGGATGGTAGGTGGAAGTCTTTATCTCTGCCTGCTTACATCTACACTGCTTGAAACTACCATTCTCCAAAGTCTCCAGTGGCCAATACAGAAAGTGCTCAATAAATAATGACAAATGAGTGTGTCATGGGTATGCACACACAGACAAGGCTTTGACTCTCTTGGAAGCAGTTTGAAGTGGGATGAAACCACATGGTTATTAAAGAAGATGCAGCTATCAAAACCACAAGGGAAAGAAAATTCCAACCAAAAGTCAGGAGATATTTATTTATTCTCTCCTATATTCTCAATGCCTTAAGCCCTTAAGAAAATAAAACTATTTACTGAATTTACAAATGAGTGTAGGAATAAGTGAGTGGCACTAACTTTAGCTTGGCTATGTGACACCATCTAGACAACAGAATATAAGAAACTGTAAATGTGTTTGACTTGGCCCTCTTTTGCCCACCATGAAGGTCCACTCAGGTAGACCTTGCTCTCTGAAGATAGTCTCCATAATGAGAAAGAGAGTCCAGCTGAGCCCAATCTGAAGCCTAGAGGCAAATCTGACTGTCCCAGAAGTGAGAAAAACAAGTGCTTACTGCAGTAAGCTTCTGTCCTGATGATTAATAATGCAGTATTATGGCAGCACCAGCTAATAAAATGGGGCTTTGAAAAAAAAAGGTGGGGGAGGGAAGAAAGGTGGGAAAGGATAAGTACTGGGGACTAAAATGAAGCAAACTGTTATATACATTTATAAGTATGTCAAAATGAACCCCACTATTATGTATAACTACAATGCACTAAGGAAAACATTTTTAAATGTAAAAGAAAAAAAGCAAGAGAATATATTCAGATTCTGAAGTCTCTTTACTGTGGGTTTTCATTTAAAAAAAAAAAAGTGGGACCACTTTGGGTAAAAAGACTCAAAGCAATACTTAGGCAATAACATGTTGGTGAGGTCTTCAGTTGTTCTATGTAATTAAATCACCATTCTCTGAAGTTCAGTGAACATAGGGTAAGACTCACAGAGAACAAGGAAAGCTACAGTAAGAGTGATTTAAAGCCACTTTGCTGATAAAATTTATCAAGATACCCTAATCATGAAGAATCCAGCCCTTCCTTAAAGACAATGGAGCTGCTACTTCCAGGTGAGATGCTATCCCTTCCCTGTTACATAATTAACTCCTAATGTGGGTCAGCTGTGTCCAGCAGGGACTAAGTTTCAATCTTTCTTCAACAAAGCTGTGGTACACTATGTTTCTCAGCACCCAAAACACAAATAACCATTAATAACCTCAAAACTGGAGAAAGAAAAGGGGAAAATAATCCAAACTCAACAATGAAGAAAAGGGACATAGCACTATTATACTCATTCTATAGATAACAACTATAAGACACCACTGATTTAATATCAGTTCTTCAAAGCAAAAGGGGGCAGGGTGCACAATTTTAGACATACACAAATTGGAGGTCTTCTGACTATACTGTGAAAAAAAAGTCACTTCAGAATAAAAGACACATTGCAATGGTTCCACAATCCTTTCTTCCCCTTTAACAAACTACAGAGCCTACTTCCAAGATCTTCAGTAAAACACATTTTAGAACACCAGTGATATATATTCATGTTGTATCAGACTAAATACTGTAAATTTTGCTTCAAGCTAAGTCTGCAATAATCATTCACAATAATCCTTTTCCAACCTCTAAACCACACTCCCTGGGCAACATCACTTATCTACTATAAACAATTTGAACAATTTGTTGAGTCAATGAGAAAACAATATTTAAATAGAAAACCATGCCCCTTCATCTGCTCCGCTACCCATGTTCTTTTGATATGCAAAAGTCAAATTGTTCTTCATTACCCTTGTTCTGATGCATGCATAATTCATCAACTCAGCCATGTGACCTATGTACTTTACTTGACTCATTCATTCTTAAAATCATGTATCCATCCAATGACTACTTTCAGAGCCATATCTTAGGTCCATCACTGCCCTCAATCAGGGGTACAGTAATAATTAAGGACCTACAAGTAAGGATACACGTCTCTGCTCTCCAGGGTATCAAGTAAGATCCAGATACCTCTCCCTCGTATAGTAAACAATAAATATGATACATTGGTTTAAAACTGGTAAAGTTTAGATGCGCCTCTTCCTAACCCCTTCCCAAACAACCCTGCTTAATTCTAGCACAGTATGAAATCGTGGGAATTATGGCAAATATAACTCCCTACGGAGAACTATCAAACCGAAATATCAACCTTAAATGAATTAAGGTTTTAAGATTCTCATACAGGTCCATATAGAGCCCTTAGAGCAAATATACTATTCTTGCCATCTAAAGAAAATGCTTCAGAAGGATGAGATGTACTTGCCTGGCATGAGTAAAGTCCTGGGTTTGATACCTAACACTGGGGAGTGGGGAGATGGAAGGAAGAATCAGTGACTCAGATTCACAATAATCTAAAATAAAATCTGAGAGTCACAGTTTGGGACAACAACCTAGGAGCACTGGTTCTCAAACTTAGCTGTACTTTAAAAATATTTGGAAATTTTTTAAAATTCTAATGCTCAAGCTGCACTCTAGTTAAGTTACTAGTCAAATTTGAGAACTACTAATGCAGATAACCTAGGGCAAACTGGCTTCTTTCCAATTAATGATTAGAGATGTGCTAACATTTCCTTCCAACAACACAGCAGTGAGCTTCCTGAACAGTTCTGCACTAAGAACTGATGCTTACCTATTCAGTGTAAGGAAAGTAGTTTCTGGGCTGCCTGTCAAACTTAGGGAAAAGGCACAAACCTGAACATACAGAGGGGAAAATATCTCAAAGTGAATGCCAGTAAAGAAACAAAAATAATAAAGCTTTAAAATCTTACTTCAAAATTTGATAGAATTTGGTGCTATGAAAGAGTCAAGTTCCCACTCCTAAATACCTGAAAAATAAGAGGCGGAGGGAAAATAACAACCCTCAGGCTGGCTTGTGAAGGGTTTTTGTTTGTTTAATACATCTGAAAAGAATGCATATACAAAGAATTGAGACAGGAAAAAGCATTGGTTCAACACTAATGAATCTACAAGTTTTAGGATTTGGGGAAGGTGGAAAAAGATTATCTAAACATTTTTAAAAACTGGAAACTGCAACCAAATAAGCTGGAAAAAAAAAAAAAAAAATCCCTATTAACACTTATGAAGAGTCTCCACAATCAAGACTCTTGCCATGATTTTCATTAAAGAATATCAGTGAGCTAGGGGGGCCTCATATGCAAAACAGAAATAAGGGGATTCCCAACTGGTTAATCCCCTTGTTGGTAAATGTTCTCCCACCCCATCCACCACCAGCTTCTTTATGAAGCAGGCCCACATCCTCAAACCTGAAAGGATGCCAATCATCCTGCAGGCATCTGTCTTCTAGCACCACCCCTCATAGTTCCTCTGTGTGTCAGGTCTTCAGCTGGGTTCTAGGACCACCACACAGTGAGTTGCAAATCTATGCTAAGTATATAAAACAATGACTGACAGGGGAAAAAAATGTTTTTTAATTACAAAACAAATTCATTTGGTGTATTTCAAAAGGTGCAATACTTTTCTTCATTTATCAATGAAAGAAGTTAGAAATGAACCCACCCCCCCCAAAAAAAAAAAAAAAACAGCAAATGGCAAACAAATTTCCTTGAAAGTCACAGTCACATATAGAGTGCATCCTAGAAAAGAGGAGGGGCAAGACAGCTGCCACCCATTTTCATGAATTTCATCAAATACTGGATCTACTCAAGGGTGGAGAGAAAAGGCAACTTTCAAAAAGGAGTATATTATTAAACGAGGCATTTACTATACTCCTTCCTAAGAGCACCAGGTGGGGAACACATTTTTCTAAACTAGATCTAGGAAGTGGAATGTGGAATCAATTTGTCCTCCTCTCCTAATGGCTGTCCATCAGTTAATTTTTTAAAAAAAGACTAAAAAATAAACCCCACACACACTCCCCCTACACCAAAAAAGGCTGTGGGGGGTGCAAAAGTGTCCCAGATTACTCATTACTCTCCAGGTTGGAACCAGGGAACGGCTTCAACAAATTAGTCTGTTACAAAGTCATCACAAGCATGCCTTGCTCTTAAACAAACAAACAACAACAACAACAAAAAAAAAAAGTGGTTTGGGTTTTTTTTTTGTTTTTTTTTTTTTTTAAACAACAGAAACTAGTACTTATCACTTTCTGACAATACACAATTACTCAAAATTAACTAGTATGGCGGGGTGGGGGGGCATACCTATGGGCCTTGTCTCACATGAGTGCATGTGGGTAGGTGCAGGGCATTTGTCATTATTGCAGAAACGAATTTTAATTTTTAATCTTTAGTTTGATTTAAACATTGCTTTTAGTATGATGCCGACACCAGCTGTGCAGAAAGGACTCTGAAGAGATGTTCATAGCAGCACACACCTGCGGCTCTTCTTCGGTTCTGGAGGCTCCAGGGCAGCCAATATTGCTTCATCAAACACATTCTTTAGGCCTTTCTGAAAAGGGGTAGAAAGAAGAAATCGGCAGTCTGATTTTCAGTATAATAGAGTTGGAGTTCAAGTTTTCAAAACAGTCAAACCTTCAAGAGTGGGCAAATGAAGAAACATTAAGAACAACCCTGAATATCAACATCACAGTCTCACTTCACCAAGTTTTGTCCAGGCAGGGCACTGGAAGGATTCAGCAATGCCAGAGCAGAGGAACAAATACTCATGTGTAAGACAATGGTCCCTTCATACAAGTTTTTACAGACCAATGTATGTCACAAAAAGCAAACAAGCACATTTGCTCATTCAATGAGTTTTGTTAACGTGCCACTGAAACACTTCACACAGAAACAGGGCAGCAGCTCTGCATTCAAATGAAACAACTGGATGTGAAAAAGGACTGAGAGGCCACCCAGGCAGTGGCATCCTTACTGTATGGAAGGCACAGGCAAAGAGCACAGTTATGGCAGCTGCGTAGATATTCACTTTGAACTCCCTTTATCCCACCAATTAGAACCAAGGGGATTCAAGGAAGCAAAGAGATGGGTACCTGATACATCTGTAGTTAGAGCCAGTCAATGCAACAGGAATAAAGCTTCATCAGCCATTTATACAAACAATTGTATATTTTTAATTTCAAAATTTAAAGGTAACCACAATTGTATGTTTCCCTCACAACAATAAATCAGAAGCAAGAAAATATAAAGGTGGTAGCTTTACATCTCAATGTTAACAAACCTTAAGTCAACTATTAAAATGGAAGCTATTCTTAAAAGATAATGTAACAAATGAACTCATAAAGCAGTAGCAGATACATCAATATCTTCCCCACCCCACACTGACAAATACTCCACTACAGCACAGACAGCCAAAGCAATAGCAACACAAAGTTTCACTACACAAAGGAAAACCAGAAAAGAATCCTCCCTTCCCCATTACACTCTACTAGCAAGTCACCCTTTTTTCATAAAGTTCATCATGCAATTACAATTAACAATTGATCATAAGAGTAAAAAGACGTTTGTGTTGCTTTCTCCATCTAGAACTAAGATCTAGAAGTGTTAAAAACTCTTCTTATTTTCTCCAAGAGGACATTCTTAATGCCAGACCACATTCCCTTTTGCAACAGTAATTTCAAACCAAAAAGCTCTGAGCATCAGGCAACTCAAGCAGCAGAAAGTTAAACAAGCCCAACTTGACTACTGATCACAAAAAATAGTCTATTAAGATATTGCATTGTTGATCAAAAACTAATACAGAGATTGCTCTAAGGTGGTGAGTAAAAAGACGCAGAGGCTTTCAAACAGGATGATTTTATTCCTTTGTTTTTAAATTAATTTTCTACAGTAGTGGGACAGAAAGCAGCAGCAAAGAGGGGAAGGAGAAAACAGTTTAGAATATACAGCACTTCCTTTTGGGTTGAGTTTCCGGAGGCTCGAGGGCAGCTAGGATAGCCTCATCAAACACATTCTTCAGACCTCTCTACAAGACAGAGGGGAGGAGAGAGAATAGCAGCCAGGTTAGAGGATTAGAAAGACTAGCAGATACAATAGCAGTCTGGATTAAATGAGCTGAATTCACAGAAGCAATGTGCTTTTAGAAAAATAAATGCCACAATGTTAGATCTTCAACTCAATATTGGGAAAGTATATAACTGAACAGGAACTTCACCTCAAAAAAAGGTTCACTGAGCACTCAAGACAACAATTTTTATGAAAGTGCACTATTTTGATTTCTAAAATAATCATACAATGAAATCTAATATTACAACATTTTAATGTAAATAATGCCCAGGAAGAAGAATGGATATGTAAACACAAGATACTTGTGTTGGAAAATTAAGCCTCGTAAAATCTCCTAGTATTTCTATGGAAAGAATGGCATACATACTTTGGAAATAAATCTATTGCAATTTCAGGCTTATGTGAATTCAGCCCCTGAATAACTGAAGGACACAAATAGCGACTAACAGGCATGCTACATGTTTCTAGATTCAGTGATATATCTGGATGGGATTAATCAGAATTTCAGAGTACATCAATTTCTTAGAACAAAAAAGTTAATTTAGAAGTGATTCACTGTGCAACAGTAGCAACTGAGAGGAGTCTTAATGAATGGACTCTAGAAACAGCATACACTTCAGTTATTCAGCAATGTTATTAGAGCAAGTAACCACCACCCGAATCATAAGAAAACAAAGAATGGGGTCCTAGAATGAGTTTTAGCAAGCAGTCGGTGCTTTAAGATGTCTGCATGGTATCAGGGCATAAAGCATGGAGTGAAAACAAATAATATTCTCAGATCTACAGCGATTAAGATGTAGAAATACACTTACACCTCAGCCAGAAACTCCACCATGACAGTGTGACTTGGTAGTAGTGGTACCCGGGCCCAGATCTATAGATTCATCTAAACTCACCTAAATCTGAAGCCACAAGTTTACCACCCAAAGCAGTTTCACATGTTCTTTAGGTCAATTTGATCCCAGGTAAAAATGTCCCCAAAAGTCCCAGAACACAGCTCCAATGGTTGTGAGCCCCAGAAGGTGTGTTCCTTCTCACACCCTTACCCCACAATGGTGTCTCAGAGGAATGGTACTCACACATTCCATTAGATTAAAAAAAAAAAAAAAAAAATTAGCAAGACAGTAATCAGTACTTAAAAAGAGGGAAAGAGACTAAAAAGTTATCTTCTTTCTACCTTATTTTCATAGAAGAAATGCTATACAAAACTTAAAAGTTCCTCTACAATTCTTTCTATACATCTAGAAACAAATCCTCACAGTCAAATATAAAAGTAAGACGTAGAAAAGGAAATAAACTTTATTTAAAAAAAAAAAAAAAAGAGGAGGAAGATCATTAGAAATTAGGGTATAATCCATAACAAGAAGGAAATCCTTTCTTATTATGGACAAAGCATAAATACCTTAGAAACCAAACTAATCTTGGCTTTACCCACTATCTGTTTACACAGAGTTTAGTTTTAGTGAATCTGCAGTCTTGAAAGTACTCATTCATATACACAATCACAGACCCCATTTTCTATTTTCTCTTGCTTCAATGTCTAGCTTCAGAATCTGTTTTAAAAAAAAAAAAAAAGTACCTGCTATACCCTTCTAAACTTATTCTCTGCAAAGTGATTCACTATGTACACCTGTTCACAATGTACAAATCTTAAGTGAAGCATCTAATTATCTAAAATAAGCTTCATCAGTGATCTAAAACTAGGTCCATGTGGCCTATTGCCTCCATTTTCCCAAAAACAGCCCATATCTAGCAACACAGGACATGAAACAGAGTCTGTGGTGTCCAACTCTGAGGTGGATGTTCCACACACATCCCTCTCGCCTCACCCAATAATACATACTGGGACACTTCTAGGAAATGCAATGAGGCTTTTTTTTTTTTTAAATTGTCATCTGTGTTGTATGAGAAATATAAATTCTTCTGGACATCTAAATATTTGCTTTTACAATAGCAATAAATAGCTTGGGAAAACTTTTAGGAAAATGTGTTCAAATCGTCTGATAGTAGGACTTGAAGTTATTCTGGGGAATATCCATTTAAGCATAAAAGGGCAGGTACTGAGGACTGAATGCAATGATGCTTTATCACTGAGCTACATCCCCAGATCTTTTCTTAAGACAGGGTCTTATTAAGTTGCTGAGGCTAGCCTCAAACTTGCAATCCTCCTGCCTCAGCCTCCTCAGTCATTTGGGATTACAGGTGGGTGCCACCACACCCAGCATAAAAGTATTATCTTTAAATATCCAACCAAGCACAAAATGGGAAACACTAAGTTATGTGTTAGGTCCTATATACTAAATACCTAATGCAAATATAATATACATAATTATATATGCCACTTACCCATATAATCAAGAATCCAATAGTGTTTTTTAAAAACTTAATAAAAACAATTACCTAAAAAGCATGATAATAAATGTAAGTGGGTTTAATACAATTATTAGTAACTTCTACATTATCAGGCATGTCTTCTCATTGTTCAAATTTCAAAGCACCAGTACCAGTAGACGATAGAGCTCTGTGCTCATTATTTCCATAATTCTTTCCTTTGCCCGCAAAACAATACTCCAAGGAGGGGATCGGCAATAACAAAAAGGTAAAGATACTGAAGTATATAAATGGTTTACAACTCTCCCACTCATTGCTTCCTATCCTCAGAACCTGAGTTCCCATTAACTATTAGGAGAAATCGAAAGCACTCAGAAATGGCCAGAAGAGATCAGCATGAGGAAGGAATGCCTCCAAAAAGACAGGAATAGTGACACTACATGAAGCATGCTTGAGGACTATGGCAGAAATAGCCAAGGGAGCCTCTTCTGATCTGACCCGAAAAGTCTCAAAATATTTTAACTGATTCTCTGCCCCAATTGAATTGCCCCAGAAACAATATAGCATCAATTTTGTCGAAATTGGCAAAAAAAAAAAAAAAACACACATATTTAAATGAAAATTTAAGCCTCCAAAGAGAAAAAATGTCATTTGTATTCTCTCCCATAAGTCTGGACCTCTCCTGAAAGTTTTTTTTCTTCTTATTTTGTTTTTTGTTTGTTTTTAAACAGACTTGACCACTTCAAATCATTCAGTAAAACAACATGGGAACCCACCAATGCAAGAGCTTTAGAGACTAATAATGTTCTCCATAAACCCAGAGGCCTCCATCAAAACAACATACAATGTATGAAGCCAATCGTATTCTTCCTGGGAAGCTTTGAGGACTGTTGACCACTGTTAGAAATTATCTCTGCATCTCAATGCTACAAGCAACTCTCAACCATAAAGAAACATAGGTTCACCACAGTCCTTACCTGTGTGAGTGCAGAACACTCCACATACTTGACAGCCTTCAGATCACGGGCCAGCTTTTCAGCAGTTTCTGGAGTGATAGGCTTCTGTTTGTTCTTGGCAAGTTTCTCGATAGTAGATGGGTCATCTCTGAGATCAATTTGGGTCCCGACAAGCAAGAAAGGAGTCTTTGGACAGTGGTGAGTTATCTCAGGCACCCACTAAAGAAAAGGTATTTTAAATAGACCTTTATTAATCTGAAAGCCTCCAAAGTTTTTTTATGACAGATCAACACAAATTGTGAAGACCTTTTTCAGGAGAAGAGCATCTTACCAACTTACCTTTTCTTTCACATTTTCAAATGAGGACGGAGAGACCACTGAAAAACAGACTAGAAATACATCTGTTTGTGGATAACTCAGCGGTCGTAATCTGTCATAATCCTCTTGCCCTAAAGCAAAAAATTGGAGAGAATTCAGCAACTGAATTTTGGTGTTCTCATGTTAAAATCACAAGTCAGTCAACAGATTAAGCATGCAGCTTAACAACACACTAATCATTAGCCAGAAAGCAAATTATCTAATGAAAAGTCATATTTTTTTTAGACTTATAAAATGGTTCAGTAATAAAATACTTGGGGGCAATATTCTCACTTAACTAATTCCATTTATATATGTCAAGAATTCAGAACAGCAACAATTATATTAATTACTTGCTTTTATTTCCAGTTTATAGTTTTCAATCATTTAGTCCATTAGTAGTAATTCAACGATAATGCAATAACAATAAACTGTTGCTACAGATATGGTTAAAAATCAGTCCTAGTCATATCTAAGAAGCAATCATAGTGAAACCACTTGAGGGAACAAAAATCTCAAACTCTGCTGATAAAATCCATTACTTCTCATGACTATCAAAGTAAATAATATGTATAGTTAATGTGTTCACAGAAGACCAGTATCTGAAACTGAGAAGACCTGGGGGGAAAATGGCAAGAATCAATGGATACTCAAAAAGAATAAAATACTTAGGAATTAACCAAAAGAGATGAAAGATTAGTAGAGTGAAAATTACAAAACTGCTAAAAGATACGAAAGAAGACATAAATAAGTGGGAACACATTCCACACTCATGGATTAGAAGACTTAATATTGGGTTTTTTTGTTTGTTTTTTATATTTATTTTTTAGTTGTGGTTGGACACAATATCTTTATTTTAGGGATCGAACCCTGGGCCTCGCAAACACTAGGCCAGCGCTCTACCGCTGAGCCACAACCCCAGCCTCAAACAATATTAAGATGTCAACGCTACCCAAAGGAACCTACAGATTCAATACAATCCCTTCAAAAATCCCAAAGAATTATTTGGGGGCTGGGGTTATGGCTCAGTGGTAGCGCACTTGCCTGGCATGCATGAGGCACTGGGTTCAAGTCTCAGCACCACATATAAATAAATAAATAAGTTCAATTAATAAATTTTTTTAAAAAAGAATTATTTGGAATAGAAAAAATTTATAATTTTATCAATAATAAAAATTAAAAGCTTCATAGCATTGGACATGGCAATAATTTTTTTTATTTTTTTAGTTGTAGTTGGACACAACACCTTTATTTATTTATTTATTTATTTTTATTTATTTATATGTGGTACTGAGGATTGAACCCAGCGTCTCACAAGCACTAGGCGAGCACTCTACCGCTGAGCCACAACCCAGCCCCATGGCAATGATTTTTTTATATAATAACAAAGGCACAGGCAACCAAACAACAAACTGGACTTCATGACAATTTAAAATGTTTATGTATCAAACGGCAACATCAAGGGGCTGGGGTTGCAGCTCAGCAGTGGAGCACTTACCTAGCACATGTGAGGCCCTGGGTTTGATCCCCAGCATCACACAAAACTAAACAAACAAAATAAGGATATTGGGTCCATCTACAACTAAAAATATATTTTAAAAAAAGACAATACCAAGGTTGGGAGTAGAGCTCAGTGGTATATCCCCTGGACTTAATCCCTAGCTTGGAAAAGGGTGGTGGAGGGGAGGCCAGTATCGACAAGAGTAAAAGGTTCCACAAAAATATATGCAAATCACACAAATCACACATATCTGATAAAGAATTAACATCCAGAATCTACGGAGACATCCCGAAACTCAAAACCAAAAAAAAAAAAAAAAAAATTTCAAAAGAGGGCTGGGGTTGTAGCTCAGTGGCAGAATGTTTGCCTGGCATGTGTGAGGCACACTGAGTTTTATCAGCACATTATTTAAAAAAAAAAAAAAAAAAGACTTTTGGTTTTTTTTAGAGGGCAAAGAACTAAAATAAACATTTCTCCAAAGAAGACGTGCAAACAGTTAATGAATGTATGAAAAGATGCTCAAGATCACAAATCATTAGTGATCAAGTCAAAATTATAATGAAGTCAGATGTGGCAGCATGTGCCTAGAGTTCCAGCTATTTAGAAGGCTGAGACAGCAAGTTCTATTGAACCCAGAAGTTCATGACCAGGCTGTGCAAGATAAAAAGACCCCATGTCAAAACAAACAAACAAACAAACAAAAAACCCTACACTATAATATCTTATACACATTAGGATGATTAGTATCAAAAAAAACAAAACAGTAAGTGTTGGCAAGGATGTGGAGAAACTGAATCCTTGTGCATAGTTGGCAGGAACATAAAATGGCACTGCGCTGTGGAAAACAGGTTGCTCAAAAAATTAAAAATAGAATTATCACATGATCTAACAACTCCATCTCTGGGTATATACCCAAAAGAATCGAAAGCAAGGTCTCAAGGAGGTATTCAAACACTCGTATTTATAGCAGCTAAAATATGGAAGCAGTTCACAGCACAAGCATTTATAATAGCTTAAACCTGGAACCCAGACATCCATCAACTTGTAAATGGTATGCCCGTAGAATGGAAAACTACTCAGCAATAAAGAGAAACTATCGATACACACAACATTGATGGCTCTCACAAACATGCCAAATGAAAGTAGTCAAACACAAAAACTATACATTATTTGATTCCAGATACATGAAATACTAGAAAAGCAAACTATAGAAACCAAAAAGAAGATCTATGGTTGTCTGAGGTCAGTTCAAAGAAGGAAAAAATGGACTATAAAAGGGCACAAGAAAACTTTTTAGGATGATAAAAAAAAGTTATATATCTTGATTATGGTGAATGTAAAACTCAAACTGAATACTTAAAATGAGTGAATTTTATTGCATTATACATCCACAAAACTTTTTAAAGTGGTATTAAAATTTTGTAAAGGCTTACAAAAATAAGCTTGGAAGTCTGGAAGCAAAATTTAATTTTCAATCATAAGTGGCCATAAATTGTCTTTTTTCAGCATACCAATTCCTCCAAAGGCACACAGAAAACGTCCTTCGCCTATCATGAGATTATAGGTCACTGTTTTCTCTATTTTTCAAGTTGCCTCTAATATGCCATTACTTTTACTACTTAAAGTCATTAAAATTTTCTCTAAACTTAACTATTTTCTATTATCTTTCCATTTCACACTCCCAATTAAATCCAGACAGTTCCTCAAAGTGGGCGTAAACACACTCCATGAGAGCTGACAGACAATGGCAGAATTAACTCATAAAAAGAAGACAGTTTAGAATTCCTATAAATTGAAAGATCACTTTTCTAAAATTTCTTTTAGGTTGAATTCATAAGAGACTAGAGAGAGAAGTCAGAAATTAAGACATGTAGCCACTGTTAAAAACAAGTAGAAAATAAAACTGAGGACACTGAAGAGTAAGGTACATTCAAGGAAGCAGACAGTTTGTTCTTATAATCTTGATTAGCTGAAAACAAATGTAAATACTGTAGGATAAATTTGGTTCACCTGTAAAACTATTTTCAGATACAGTATAAAATAACAAGCTACTTACTATAAGCAGCTTTCTAAACACATACTACACTACATACTACATAAGCCTTCAAATGAAAGCAATCATAATGGTTTACAAAATTACAACCTTGGGCATATTTAGGAAACTCTAGGCACTAAAAAAGGGGAAGGTATGAATGCAGTGAGACAATCAATAGTCATTTTTCCTCTGAATTCATTCCCTTAGTTACTCCCCAACCATCAACATAGTTCCCAAATCTCTGCAAGGTGTACACGTCAGGGTGTTGGTTCAATTAGAGCTTCTCTAATGCAGTCTGCTCTATTTGATCTCCTACCACACCATCCATCAGCATACTCTAAACTCCTAGTAGTCCTCCCAGGTTTGGGACTGCTCTTTGGTCATTATATTCAATCCTGCTAACTATTAACATAAGGTAAATGATTTGCTATGTATAAATTTCCCAAATGTCAAAAAAAATCAATAACTATTACATTATAAAAGACAGTAAGTTTTCACCTGCAGTATCAAAAAGTCCAAGAGTATATGGCTCTCCACCAATCATAACTGTGACTGCATAGTTGTCAAAAACCTAAAAACAAAACAATACACCATTGTTAATGTGTGAAGGGTGGGTCAAAATGGAACAGGACTGTTCCTAAGGCAACGTTTCCTTCCTAAGATTTATCATTCACATATATATATATATATATATATATATTTTTTTTTTTTTTTTTTAAGTTGTCAATGGACCTTTATTTATTTATATGTAGTGCTGAGAATCGAACCCAGTGCCTCACACGATAGGCAAGGGCTCTACCACTGAGCTACAACCCCAGCCTCCTTCCTAAGACTTAATCCTCCTTTAGTCAATCTTCCTTATATAACCAACCTTGCCAACCAAACCCTTGCATGAACTAAATGGTTCTAGGAAAAAGTAACCTGGGATGGCTGCTCTACCCCCAGCAGACTAGATAAAGAGCCACAAAAGGGTTATAGGTATCATGGGAGGAGCCCCTACTTAAGCAAAATTATCCTATTCAAGTCAGAAACATTTAAGATAACAGTTTACTTCAAGGTTCAATCTGCTTTCTAAGGAAGTTTTTCTTCCTAGACCATTTCCTTTTAAACTAGAATTAAAATCTCCTAGATCCATGATAATCTTTTTTTTTCTTTCAGAGTCTCAGAGGAGAAGAGCCTTGTGGCAAAAAAGCCCACATGAGAGACGTAGTAAAGCACTCCAGGAAAGTGTGAAAGAAAAAGCTGACAGATTATTTATTTAGAATTTCATAGTGAAATTCATGTTGGGCTGGGAGTATAGGACAATGACAGAGCATTTGCCAGCATGTGTGAAGCCCTGCATTTGATACCGGGCACCAGAAAATATAGTAAAAATTCATGTTATTGGGTACAAGCTACATGACCTAAGATATCGTCTTTGACTAGATATATATTAGGTATATATAATTGGTTGTACTAAGTTATTTGTGAAAATGGGAGGTAATGGTAAGTGGGCAAAGACCCAATATTAATCCATGGATTCCTCTGAATTCGTTTACAACCAAAAAGCAATGTTTGGGGGCTGAGGTTGTGGCTCAGTGGTAGAGCGCTTGCCTACACATGTGAGGCACTAGGTTTGATCCCCAGCACCACATAAAAATAAACAACAATTTTTTTTAAAAAGCAATGTTTTTATATATATCACTGTAATTTTGTCAAAGTACAATAAAAATGTCTAAATTAAATTATTTTAATCAATTTTTTGGAAAAAAAAAAAAAGCTATGCTTCTAAACTGGAAAGTGTACCACATTTGAAGACTAGCCCTGCTTAACCTTTTAGCTCCCTACTCAAATTTTCTGGTTCATGTTTTAATAAGTTGTTTGGGAGCTTGTTAAAATGTAAAGGTTGGAAGCAAGGACAGCAGTGAAATGGTAAAGAAGTCAATTCTGGTTCACAAGGAAATGGAATGAATTGTACTTCAAGTCTCAAACCACATAGGTTATTTTCTTAAGTTACGTGTTAGAAGAGCCTAAAAAATAACCCTCAGCAACTTGATGATACCCTGCCTCAAAATAAAAAGAATGTAGCTCAGTGTCAGAGCATACCTGGGTTCAATTCCCAATATCAAAATAAAAGTAAAAAGCCCTCATATACAAGACTAGAATAAGAATCAGTTGTTGCACATGGTAGCATGCAGCTATAGTCCCAGCTTCTCTGGAAGCTAAGACAGGAGAGAATCACTCAAACCCAGAAGCTGAAGATTAGCCTACGCAACATAGTGAAACAAAACAAAAACAAAAACAAAAAAAGGGAATCATAAATCTTTAAAACAAAACAACAACAACAAAAAAAAAATAGGGAATCATAAAAGCTTGTCATCCATTCCAGACTCTACTCATAACTAGTGTTTGATTACTTAAGACATCTAAGTTTCATCCCCAGGTTGGGCCTGAATTCCTCATCAATAGAAGATAAATAAGGTGATAGATATATTTGATGCTTTCAGTTCTAAATTTCTATTATCTTATGTTATCTCAGCTCATAGGTGAACACAAATATGCATTTTATACCAAATCTATTTTTATAATAACTTAAACAGGAACTATGGGTACATTATATGTGCTTCACAGATCTATTTTTACCTAAATAATAGGTTCATTTAAAACTTTATTTTACTATTCCTCTCCCTTCTTTATCCTTTTCTCAGAGATCCATATATACACATATAAAAACCATATAAACCATATATACACATATAGAGATCCATATATACATATAAAAACTTTTGATATTACACCAAATAATAAAAGTCTTATAATACAGACTCAGAAATGTTTACAAGTGAAACAAACACTGTATCCCCAAAAGTATGTTTTCACAAGTGTGTTGTCACTCTAAATATGTTTCATCTTATTATCCTCATTATCCCCATTTTACCTCTACTCTTACAAGGAGTTATTTAAAAAAAAAAAATTATATATATATATATATATATATATATATGGGAAAGACAAACAAAGGCTTCTGTCTGTACTCTCATAACCAAACAGGTTTTCCCTAGAACTTCATTACTGCTAAGAAAACAGCTCCATAAGATACATACTACTTTCTCTGAAGTTACACGACTCTGAAAAGCACCCCAGAAGACCTCGAAGCATTGATCAATCATTGGCCAAGATATCAAAAAAAGTCATCTCATTCAAGATGTAGGGCATACTTCTCCAAGACCACTCTTTAGAATCTTTATCTACTGGAGTTTTGCCTCCCTTTGCAAACTCTTGTGTCACCCTTTCTGGCTTTCCACTGTTTTTTTAACTGTTTAATTAAAGTGTATATAATTTACCCATGAGAAATTAAGATTTTTAAAAACAGAAAATTTCAGTACATAAAGAAATTTCTAAGGATATCAAGTTATAATACATTTCACTAACAGACAGAAGTCTTTATACTTACAGTTGGTACATATTCGGATGGAAATTTGTTTGTTGTATAGGATATCAGGAGGCATGTTTTACCAACAGCACCATCGCCCACAACAACGCACTTAATTGTCTGCATTGCGGAAATAGTTTTGTATCCACTTTAAATATTTCAAATTTGATGACCTACAAAAGATTAAAGATATTTGTTTTATTGATTTGTACTTTTATATTTATATGTATTTACATATATATACTTTCCCTCAACTAGCAACAAGTATATTCATAGAAACAGCACAATTACTACGGCTGAAAGATCCTAAAAAGAAAAATGGTGACTTGCTGAAAGTCACAATAACAAATAAGAGTCAATTTTCTGTTTCCATCCCTGGTAGTTTCAACTACTTAAGTGTTATTTTTTAAGAGTCCAATACAAAAATGAGCAGTATGTTTCTTTTCATAATGAAGGAGAAGAGGCTTCTATCAGAATCAGAACCCTGCAGTGTATCAGCTATTATTTTGTGAAACCTTTCCTTCAGTTGTATGTACACACATGTGCATTACGTATACCCCTATGCAAACTACACTGCCACACAAAGACCATTGCTTTAATGAACAGCTCATCTACTCAGCCTTAGAGCTATAGTTACTCAGGCTATAACCAACAAACAGCAGAACACCACCACTAACACCAGAATATGTGAACAGCATGAACTGGACAAATATCCAAGTGATCCCTAGTCTCAGCAGCTACTGTAGCACCAGGTTGCATAGTTACTAGTTCAATATTCATGACATGAAGAATCCAAAATCTGCATTTCTAAGATTGCTCTAAAACATACTGACAGAATTACTTCAGCTTCATACTAATAGTCCTCCATTCTAAGAAGCTTCAATGACAGATTTGCCAAAGATTTATTGTATTTCATCAATACTGATACTTTCTGTCACATCTGTATCTCTAAAATCAGAATGTATCTTTATTGAGGACATCTTACAATTAATATCAGCCATTTTCCCCTCATATTTTGACATCTATGAAACTGGGATAAATGGAATCTTAGATTCAATGAAATACTTTAACTGTTTTCCTGGGAGAATTTTTAAAAAGAAAACACACTGTACACACCTAGATTTCAACATTAAAACCTATTTCAATTACAGCCCTGAAGGGGTTACAATTTTTGGCTAGAACTGCAACCCTATGGAATGAAAATAAAGACCCACCTAACTTTGAGTTCGAAATCAGGGCTATTTGCTTACAGAGCTCCCTTCATAATACTTAATCATGATGATTTACAAATGCCTATTAATATTTTTGAATATAGGTATATATTACTTCACACATCATGTATGAATATGACATAATGAATCCCACTATTAAGTATAAATATAATGAACCAATCAAAAAAAATTTTAAAGATCCTGATCCCTAGCCTAAATCAGTAACTGGTTCAACTTAAAATTGTTCTCAAATAACAACCGTTATGGGTCTGGGGTTGTGGCTCAGTGGTACAGTGTCTGCCTAGGACAAGTGAGGCCCTAGGTTCAATCCTCAACACCACATAAAAATAAATAAAACAGGGCTGGGGATGTGGCTCAAGCGGTAGCGCGCTCGCCTGGCATGCGTGCGGCCCAGGTTCGATCCTCAGCACCACATACAAAGATGTTGTGTCCGCCAATAACTAAAAGAAATAAATGTTTAAAAAATTCTCTCTCTCTTTAAAAAAAAATAAATAAAACAACTAATAAATAAAGGTTAAATTTCTTTAATTTTTTTAAAAACAGAGATAATGAAAACACTTACATAGCACTTACTAGATGCCATGCATGCACTCTTCTAAACACACTACACATACTCACACATTTCATCCTCCCAACATTCATATACAATATGATACTGTTATTACCCTACCCTACAGGTAAAAAGATGAGACATAGTTAAGTAATCAGGCCAAGGTTACTCAGCCAATAAGTGGTAGAATTGGGATTTAAACCCAAGAAGTCTGGCTCTAAAGTCTTTGCTCTTAAACATCATACCATACTTCCTCTCCTGAAAAGTAATATTAATAAAAACAAATATGATCACAGCTAGTGGAGTGGCAATTATATGGCTATGAGAGTTGCCAGCAATGCAAAGAAGGTGGCAAAAATAAAGAGGAAGTAAGAAGCAGGATCTAAGTTCATTTCCCCATTTCTTCACCCTACAGACAACTAGTGAATTTTTAATAGAAGTGTGTCAAACAAGAATAGAGAGTAAGAAAGATAGAGTAACCCACAAATCTTTATACTGACCCACAAATCTTTCATTTCTTAGGCTTCCCAACCTGACAGCTCAGCAATTTGTTAGAAACTAATGTTATCTGTTACGAACAGCCTGGGTTCTAGAGTCAGACTGGCTCTACCATACTCTAGCTATGGGAGCTTAGGGTTTTTTGTTGTTTCTGTTGTTTACTGTTGTTGTGGTACTGGGAAATGAACCCAGAGTTTTATACGTACTAGGCAAGCATTTGACCACTGAGATACATCCCCAGCCCTTTTTTATTTTGAGACAGGGTCCCGCTAGATTGTTACAGCTGACTTCAAACTTGAATCCTTTTGCCTCAGCCTTCCAAGTAGTTGGGATCACAGGTGTGTACCACTGTGCCTAGCTTGCACAAATTATTTAACTTTTCTGTGGCTTAGCTTCCCCTTCTCTAAAAATGAAGACAGCAATACACACCATCTTCATAGGGTAAACTGAATACATAATACATGCAAATTTAAAACAGTGTCTACATACACTAAGAGTTTAGTAAATGTTAGTTATTAGTATTGACTGAGTAAAGGCAACCTTAAGTCAATATAAGGAGCTATAACGAACTCCTTAGAAAGGAATACAATTTTTCTTTTTTTTTTTTTTTTGGTGCCAAGAATTGAACTTAGGGGCACGTAACCACTGAGCCACATTCCCAGCATTTTTTTGTATTTTATTTAGAAACAGAGTCTCACCGAATTGATTAGGGCCTTGCTAAATTGCTGAGGCTGGCTTTGAACTCGTGATCCTTCTGCCTCAGCCTCCCAAGATGCTGGGATTACAGGCGTGCATTATGGCACCCTGTACAATTTCTTTTTATTTCCAGAATAATTATAGTACTCATGGTTCTTTTTTTAAGTTATTATTTTTATACCTTTATTTATTTTTATGTGGTGCTAAGAATCAAACCCAGTGCCTCACATGCTAGGTGAGACACGTGCTCTACCACTGAGCCACAACCCCAGCCCAGTACTCATACTTCTCACCAAATATATAATTGAATTTTGAGCTACCTACCATTACAAAGGGGGTCATTTCAGAATCAAGCTCGAATATAATTAAGACTATTCTGCAAAGCCCTTAGCAGGTATTAATAGTTATTTCATATACTAAAATGAGCACTTGCCTCACACAGGTGAGGCTCTGTGTTCGATTCTCAACACTACATATAAATAAATGAATAAAATAAAGGTCCAGGGCTGAGGTTGTGGCTCGATGGTAGAGCATGTGTCGCATACATGTGAAGCACTGGGTTCAGTTCTCAGCACCACATATAAGTAAATGAATAAAATAAAAGTCCACCAACAACTAAAAAGATATTTTAAAAAATTATAAAGATCCTTCAACAACTGAGAAATATTAAAAAACAAAACAAAACCCTTTAAAAAAATGATACCAGATGACCCACAAATTGTGGCCAGAAAAGACACTTTGCTTTTGCAATATATATATAATGACAGCTTCAACAGCTTCAGGGGAAACTAGGCCAGATATATTAGTATATCCCATGTTAACCTGTCAAAATAAGGTCAAATCACTATAGCAGGAAAAAAACGATTACCATTTTACTATCCAATGTTCTAGTGACTTGGCTAGAACAGTTATTTTGCACCAATAATTAAACACTATACCTCTATACAAATGATGTTCATTTGTACCATAACTTACAACTCGAATTGGGCAATTTACAGTACAAAAAATGATTCTGCCGATCATAAAAGGAAAAACATTGTGAAAGAGCATGTATCTTCCACTTTCTTTGCCAGTATTTATTCCTCCATCAGACAGCCACACCAATATCCGTATCTTCTAGGTTGTTAAAGTTTTAAGAGTCTAATCACCCTTGAGAATCTCAAAGTTAAATCCCAAGTTTTGTGGAGTCCATGCACTACACATTTAAAAAGGCTATGAACTCTCTCTTTACTTCATTATTACTGGCGAACACTCAAATAAACTCCACAATCAACAATTCCTGGGAAAAGGATTTGTATGGAAGAATGGGAGGATCCCAGCAACACATCCCAAGGTTCTCCTGGAACAAGGCACATACAATATATTGAAAGATTTGAGATTAAGTACTTACTAACAAGTGTTTTTTGAAAATTTTATAATAATAAGATCTCCCCAGACTGGTCCTGAACTTTTATTCTTCTTGCCTCAGTTTCTGTGCCCAGCTATGGGTTTTGTTATGGTACTGAGGACTGAACCTAAGGGCACGCTACCACTGAGCTACATCCCCAACTCTTTTTATTTTATTTGAGACTGGGTCTCATGAAATTGCACAGAGAATTCAAATTGGCTACAAATTTGCAATACTCTGCCTCAGTATCCCAATAGCTAGAATTATAGACATGTGCTACCACCCTGATAAAGTGTACTTTTTAAAAACATTTACTATATGATTCTTAAGAAACCACAAATGGGACAGGATTGTGGCTCAATGGTAGAGCACTTGGCTAGCATGAGTGAGGCACTGGGTTCAATCCCCAGCACCACGTACAAATAAGCAAATAAAATAAAGGTATTGTGTCCATCTATAACTAAAAAAAAAAATTTTTTAAAAAGAAACCACAAGTATCCAAACTAAAGATATATACTATGCACTCACATGTATGCAGATGTTGAATATTGTTGTTTAGTCTACATCACAGAATATATATAAAAAAATTAAATTAATATAGCTGACCTTATTTGTTTAACCAAGAATACGATATTGCTTAGAAAGTCCTAATGAAAGTCCTTAATGAACTAACTTTACCCCCAACATCTTACATATAAGAAAATTCTGGCCAAAACACAAGGATTTGTTGCAAAGCTAGACAGCACCCAAATATCTTTTTTTTTAAATATTTATTTTTTAGTTGTAGTTGGACACAATACCTTTATTTTA